GTAGGCTTTTGATTATCCCAGCGGCGGTATTATAGCGGGGGGATGCTATAGGTTGGTTAGTGTTAGGTAGTTATCAAGGGTTGGGATGGGGCCAATCGATCCCTTTTGTTCCCTATAATAATGCATATTATGGATGTTGGTGGAGGAGGAGGAGGAGACGACGACGACGACGACTACGATGGTGTATATCCTGTAGCTGTACCCTCTTATCCAGCATTACACAGGGCTCCACCGCGAAACTTGCAGCAGCAGTTGCAGTAGAGAAACAAATCAACGTTGTACACAACTGCGGCCAGGAGCTCACCTCAAGGGTGCAAAGACTTGTCAGAGATAGAGGGAAGGGATAAGTGGGTTTTCTCCGGAGTGCTCTATTTCATTTTCATTTTCATTTTCACTTTCATTTTCATTTTCATTTTCGATCTGGAGGGGAAACTGAGGGGGAGGATACGATACGGAGGACTGAGTACGTACTCTTCAAAGATTCCCGAAAGGAAAAGAAAGGATCGATCGCCCATACCCTAACCCAAAGTCAACGGAGGAGACGAAGGGATTGTACTCCGTACCTGACCCAGACTCTTACAATCATCACATTTAATCAAATTAAAAATAACTGTCATTTCCTGAATCCAAGGATTCCAACGATGAATCTCTGGGTCGTGACCCATGGACAAGACTACTCACTACGCCGTAGCAAGACTGGCTTTCTCTTGTGTCTGGACGCTCGCCCTGGCTCGTCCTGATTTGCTGATCACTTTTGTCTTGCTCCATACGGAGTCTGAATCTCCAGATGGATTTTTCTGGGTTTTCCCCACTTAGTTAATACTCATTACCAGATGGGCCTTTTCATCCCTTAAGGAACAGGTAACTTGTTTTTCTCCCGTGACCTTTTGTTTTTTTTTTTTTTTTTCTTTTTGTTCCAGGCAGGGACATTGTTGCCACATTTCCGCCCTTTTTTCCAAACCCACCCCCAGGAGGTTTCATCTGTCTGAGATAGTATGTTGTGGCAGGACGAGGTACCAGGGAAGTAGTACGACTTCCTCGTAGGTGAACAATACTATGGAATCCACTGATGATCACGCATTACACAATCCACTAATTTTCCATGATCTTCCACATCCCTCCTCATTTAACCATGTTACATATTGGTAGTAGATCATGGCGCCCTGATTGGCCCGTCCCAGCTAAAAATAAAATAACATGTTAGAAAATTTGTTGCCCGTCTTTTCTCTGCTGTCCTGTGGGAAAGCGAAAGAACGCCTCGAAGTTTGGTTTTACGAATTCGTCAGTGGGATTCTCCCGTTTGCAGGAGATCAATGGAATTTTGATATGTGGATTTGGGCACCGTTCTGGTTTCTGCTTTGGATTGGATCGAATCGCAGCCGAACGGTGGTGTGTGGCTGATCGTTTTAGTTTGGGATTTTCTTTTCTTGCTTTGGGCCGGTGTCGCGCGTCCTGTACCCAGTGTTTCTGTACATAGTACATCTCAGATCCTCGACTGGGGGGTGATAAATTAAAAAACTGTACATCAATGAGTTGATTGTGTTTGTCACTAGTGTGACAGTAGTGGGTTTTTATTCGGAGGGGGTCCAACAGAACACAGCACATTGGATGATTGGGGGGCAAAACACTTGGTATTACCCAGGTAATTAATCCAATGTAATCCTAATCAGAATGGGAGGAGATCAGAAGAGAAAAAGAAAAAAAAGAAAAAAAAGAAAAAATGGAGGAAGGAAAAAATTCATCTAGAAAAACATAACATTCTCGTGAGATGAAGGAAGAATTCTTCACAAAAACCCTGAAGCGATTTGTTGATATCCAAGTGCTGAAGAACTGGAGAATAGAATTATGGTCATGAATCTGCATTTCTTGTGCTACCCCCTTTCAGCCCATGTAAGGCTGTTGATGTAAATTGACAATTATTACTACATCTGATACTTTAGAGCTCAACTCGATCCATGGACTGGTTTGTTTGGAACTGACCGCAAAAGTCAAAACGGGGTTCAAACTACTAGTATACTAAGTTAGTTTAGTGAACTCGAGCTGTCCCAATTGAAAGCGCCATTATTATTATTTTCTGCTCTCGCTCTCTCTCTCTTTTTTCTTAGCGTCTTACTTTTTTATTTCCTATTTTTTTACCTTTTTTTTGACTCAACCTTTTTCACAAATCAAAAAAAGTTTAGAGGAAAAGAAACGAAAAATAAAACCAGATAAACTTTTACCATCATCAATTAGCATTACCGCCTATTTATCATCGGCGGTCTTGACTTCCAATCCGTTGAATCCCTTGCTTGACCGTTACCACTTCTTCAACTTTGACTGGGTGACAAGACCATCACTGAAAGGGTCCACGGGAAATTTCCTGGTCACTGTACTTTTCTTGAGGGGGAAAAAAACGGGCAGAGTGCAGCGCGCTAGCGGTTTGTTTCTCTTCTTCCTGCTCTTGGGGAAGTACTTTCTTTTACTTTGTTCGACCTTCTATTGCTGCAAGTGTAAGTCTTGATTCTTATTCGAGCACTTCGGGGCCTCCTTGTCAAATCCCTACCTCTCGCTCATACTCCTCTGACACTAGCATTGGCTTTTGTTTCTGCCCTCTTATCTATCATTCTTAGCCCACTTATATTCAACCCTTCTGCACCCTACATTCTGTCACTGCTGGACCGTTTTTTCCCTCTTCCTTGGGCTTTGACTCCTTCTCTTCCCTTCTCCCCTGCTTGGAATATTTTGTCCCGTTTTGTTTTTCTTTTATCTTATTTTATTTATACTTTTCTTTCTACATCGTTCACTGTTCATTCTCATCGGATTTCACCCGCTACACCACCAACTCTACTTACATGGTGCATACTCCCGGACAAAAGAAAAAAGTAAAAATACCATTTCGCTAACCCTACTTGCTTCTACAGTTGTCCATCATGACAGTTGCTGCACCGCCTGTGGCACCCGTTCACGAAAATGGTATTAACGGCAGTGCCCCCGGGCACCACCATGTCAACATGAGCTTGCCACGGTTCCACCCAATCGCAATGAATCCGAGTCAACCAGTGCATCCTGAGCAAATGATGCCGAATCATTCTCACTTCCGTCCTTTTCCTCCACCTCATCATATGCAAGAAGCAGGCCCACCGGGCCCGGCTCCTCATCCTCCTTCTCATATAGATCAGATTGATGCTCGCCTGAGGCAATTGGAACATGAAGAAGCAGCTCGTATGGCTGCTCGTAGCCACCTTCTTGCTATTCGAAAGCGGGAAGACGAAGAATTTCGTAGGATGACTGAGAGTGCTGAAGCCGAAGAAGAGGTATGCTATAATACATTATGTTTCGATCACCCGCTAGATATTAGTCTGACATGGGCAATTGCCCGCACCATAGGAACTTCGTAGGCAACGGAAACGACTGAAGCGAGAATCTATGGGATTGGGGTATAATGCAAGCATGGACTCTCCGCCACTGCGGCCGACGCCGCCACGTCGTTTGTCAGAGACCAATGCAGCCACCACCCTTGCGTTCTTCAAGCAGCAAAGTCCTCCAGAGCCTCGTGCCATCCCTCCACCGCCTGTACAGGCACCGCCTTCGCATCCTCCCCCTCAACATATTTCTCATGACCCCACTGCCGGCACCATTCGACGAAAGCAAAAATACACCATTAAGAATGTCGAGGCTTGGGGGGAACGACACGGACGACCTGCAGCACACGACCCGTCTGGACGCGCGTTGTGGAAGCGACCATCGGATGGTAGTTTAGTGTATCTGACCTGCCCAGTTGCCGGCTGTGGAAAGGCAGACTTTGTGACGCTACATGGTTTCATGTGCCATTTGACCAAGAAGCATAAAGATCGCAGTCTGGGGAGTCAATCAAGGGCGTTGGAAGTTTGCGGCATCGTCTATGACCCTAATGCACCCCTTCCGCCGGTGTCCACTGTGCAGCGTGCGTCGACCGAAGAAAGTCGCGGTGACTCGGCCCCTACAGACCCTGAAGGCTACCCACAAGAGATGGACTACTCTTCCGCATCGGATGACGAGGAGAGCCGGAAGAATCCCGTGAAAACAGAGGCGGCAGATCGGACTTTACCCGTCCCGACGGTCCCTTTCCCGCACCCGGAGGAGCCATCGAAAGCACGGAAGCTCAATAATTCTACAAAACAGTCGATATCCTCCATAATTGATCGTGATCCCGAGGATGAGCCCCGGGAGCGTTTAGTTTCCATCCCCCCTCGCCCCGTCGAGGCTCTATCGCGAGCCTCCCCGGAGCAAAAGCCCTCTATCCCCACCGAAGCCGAGGTGTCTCGGCCCGATGAACGAAATCAGGAACCAAATGAGTCCAAGGAGACCGTCGAGTCAAAATAATAATACAATCGATCTTATTTCTTTCCTAATACGGTCTGTTGCGCTATTAAAATACGCAGAACTTGCATTTGCATCCTACGAGCACGCTTTAGCTTTTGACACCTTTGCAGCTGCGTGAATACCCTTCTACGCATTCCTGGGTGGCTTTGTCTACTTCTTATGTCAATTCTCTTCGAGTAATGTAATGTCTTTTCCATCATTGCTGGTCATTCTGTTCTGGGGCGCTGGTCGACTTGCGTCTATTCGTTTCCTGTGTCAATTTTGCTTTTAACATAGTGGATACCTACGATATAAACCCATCTATACCTATGACCCGTGTGACTTTGTGGGTCACCAAGAAAAAACTGCTGTGGTGCTCGCGCGCATCTCTTTTATGTTACTTAATGGATATCGTGAAGCCCGTCAGTGGCTCATTGCATCATTGCAACCGACCCTTGATAGTGGCCAAACCAATAAATCAATATATCATGTGCATGCCTTCAACACACTTTCCGTCTGCCCATGACTAGAGGTGTCCTGAACTTTCGATGAACTGCTTCCGCACCGTACTCGTCTCGCTACAGGACAGGCAAACCGCCATCGAGTAGATGGAAGTCACCAGCCCTCACCTCCAGACCCTATCCACCTCGCAACCATGACCGACACTCCCTTACCCAATCTCACATATCCCCACCCTTCAACACCAACACATGCACCAAATACCCCGATCCAGACGCCAACTTCCTCCCCAACACCTCATCACTCACCCTCCAAACCCGAAACGCCCTCATCGTCTCCCTCAACCAAGCCTCAAACACCTCGGGTGACCGCTGCTGCTGCGCAATCACACAAACCGTGGGCCTCTTCTCCCCCTCCCGCAACTGCCCCCCAGGAGCATAAACCGCCCTCAGCCGACACACATCCGCACAAGTGCGCACAAGCGGCGCAATCAACGCCTCATTATAGATACAATCACAGGAAATCAGCACATCAAACCCGCGATCCGCGCCCCCGTCACTAGTCGGGATACTATCCTTCAGCGCGGCCGGGTCATCCGTTTCCCAGTCCAGGGTGGTGAAGGTGATGTTTGTGGTGGACTTTTGTGATGTCTTGTTGGTGGTGGTGGTGCTGCCCTGTTTACTGGATTTGCGGTTGCTAGCCTTGGACTTGGGCTGTGGGTGCTTCGGGGCGTTGGACTCGAGATTGGAGCGCAGGAGACGATGCACGTATTCTTGGTCGGTGGCGATGTAGTGCGTGATGGTGGGGGAGAGGGCCAGGGCTATGAGGCCTGAGATGCCGCAGCCGAGTTCGAGGGCTGTCGAGGTTGGGGCGAGGATCGTGTTGGTCCACAGCGGGTTGGATTGCGTTGTTATCCATTCTGCGAAGAGGGGGTGATTTTCCAGAGGACTGCGGGGTGGATTACTAGTAGTTAGCTCATTGGTGGTTGATAGATTGGTTGGACTGATAGGAGAATGTAGGTGGATAGATGTAGTAGATAGAGTTGGTCAGATAAGATGTCCAGGGTTCGGAATGGGATATACATAGTGTAGAACTCATTAAATGAATCCATGTGAAAGTGATAGCAAAGAAAATAAAGTAAAACGGAAGAAGAGAGATTTACCTGCGCCAGTCGTGCCGCCCGCGCGCGACGACGACAACAGCGTCGGAGATTGGTTAATGGTATAGTCTTGTCCGTGGATGGTTACATCGACAGACGTTGCTCGTGAATCGACGAAGCCTAGATTGGCCGAGGGAATGTCTTGCGCGAAGAGAAGGAAGCATTCTAACAAGGATGTGAAATTAACTAAATGCGCGCCGGGCTATTTGGTGTTTTTTTTTGTCTTAGATTTTCTCGGTCGATCTGAGAGCATAGTCTACACGAGGTGCTACGGGATTGAATCGAAACGCAGGGATGGGATTGTTGTGCGAAAAACATACCCTCTTCGGCATCTTCGACCTCTTCGCCGATAGATGTCAGGAAGCTGGTGAGTTCTTCCATTGTAGCTGTTGTGTCGGTGCTTAGAAGTAAGGTTAGGAGGATCTTGGGACTCCGTTTAGATCGGAGGCTCGAGCTCTTAGGGTTAGGATAGCTCGAGTTAGTTAGAACTTTGGACCGGGAGCGTAACTGCTTCCGCGTCTATCGGGAAGGTAAAATGTCTCTCGAAACTACAGTAGCCTCATTAGTTAGCAGGTCTGGACTATTTTTTGTTTTTGTCTTGTGATGATACCCAGGATGTTCCCTGTAGCGCCATGTATCGCGCCGATCGGAATAGAAGCGACAGCTGTAAGTACTAAGAGGGGACGAAGCATGTACCTAATTAGGGTTGAGTCGGGATAGTAGCCGATTGATCTACCGTACTTTTTTCTTTTCTTTTCTTTTCTTTTTTGGAAGAGATTTAACGGAGTCGGGAGTCAAGAGGCATTGTTACTAGTAGGGTGGCCCATTGTCCGTAGTTTGTTTGCGCGACGGGATTGACAGCCGAGGAACTTTTGGAGCAGACGTTCATTGGTACCCTTGCTGATTGGCCAATGCTGACCCACTGGCTGGATACAATGAGCAGGGAAAAAGTGGTGCGTAATGAATGTCTTATGAACTCATTAGCTTTGGTTATGCGTGACAGTGTTACTACTTGACAGAGGCGAATTCTGCAATGGGAGTTTTTCTCTAGTAATAAGGCAGTGAACTCTACTTTGACTCAAGACGGAGATCTTCGAGTGTTGGGCCATTTTCCCAACAAAATACGGATTAAAGCTTCTCCCGAAGCTCCGGCAGTGGTACTTTGGACAGTATTGGCGGTTGATTTGACTATGAATCGGCTTCAAAAAGGCAACAAATGCGACGGGTTCGGTACGAGAATCGCTTGTCGTCTCGGACATTATCAGAAGCCTGGGTTCTTTTGGTCTGAACCGCGGTAAGGGGCAAAGAGGAGAGAGAGAAAGTTCCGAGCAACCTTGTCAATTAAAGATTTAGCCGTAGTTTTAGTCGGGTTTGATTACTATGGAGACCGTTTTTCTTGAGGTCTGTGTGGCATCAGGGGGGTGTTGTGTCTCGTGTTCCCGGCAGGTTTGCAAGCATATGGGATGTACAGACTCAAGATAAAGGGAGGGGTTCGGGGAGAACAATGGAATAAAGGACTGTAGATTCCCCCCTGCGTAGTTCTGTTAAGTGACGAAGAGATTGGATCGAAAGCTGAGACAGGAACGCAGTTCCGTTCACGTCATTGGAGTGCTCAGACCGCCTTGGACCAATGCCCAGCCGCAAAAGTCTCGCTCTGACTTCATCCCGTTCAAGCTTCATCTTGAGCTGCCTCGTTCTTTCTCCTCTCCTCTCCTCCCTCTCGTATTCCTCCCCCCGCATTTCTTTATCTTCCTTGCTCATCTGATCTTCTATCCGGCTCAATCCATCACCCTCCCTCCCACTCACTGCTTGGCCATTTGGGAGTGAAGAGTCGCCAGTGTACTCCCGTACAGTCGTACCAACGACTTACTATTCTCCGTAAGTTGTTGTTTTGAGTTCTGCCACTCTGGAGCGATCCGTGGGTTCCTGCTATTCGCACGTTTTTGGTCCGACTGCAAACACCTCAGATCTTCTTCCTCGGTAATCGGCCGACTAATTTCTCCAAAAGCCAGTTACCTTTTCCTCCCAACTTTTCTCTCTTTGTATCTATACTCCCGTATTCTCGTAATCCACCGCCAAGATGTCCCAACAAAACGCCCATCTTCAACCGCGCATTTCCAAGAAGCCCCCCTTTTCAGTGGAGGTTCCTGGCGTGCAGGCGGTGCCTGGAGAGACTATCCCCCGTCGACTGCCGGCGGCAAAGGATGGGCTCATCGTGATACCTGTGGAGGGTGTCGAAACCACCTACGATGTCTTCCGCCGCTCTGCGCGCGTGTTCGGTAACGCCAAGGCTGTCGCAAGTCGCCGCTTGATCAAGACTCACGAGGAGAATAAGAAGGTCAAGAAGGTCATTGATGGCGTCGAAAAGGAGGTCGACAAGAAGTGGACATACTTCGAGATGAGCCTTATAGCTACAAGAGCTTCGTCGAGTATGAGCAAGTGGCCCTCCAACTTGGTGCAGGTCTGAAGAAGCTTGGACTCCAGACGGGAGACAAGATCCATCTTTACGGTGCAACGAGGTGAGTGTAGTTTGACTCAGTCGAAATGTAGTTCATTGGTCAATCGACTAACACGGATTCTTAGTGAAAACTGGCTGGCCATGTCACACGGTTCGTTACAGTTGTCTTGCGCGCGTCGGTGTTCCATGTACTAATTCGGAGCAGGAGCTGCATCTCAGTCGTTGACTATCGTTACTGCCTATGACACCCTCGGAGAGGATGGGTTAAAACACTCCCTCGTCCAAACATCCAGCATTGCCATGTTCTGCGATCCCAATCTCATTCCCTCAGTGGCCAATGTACTCAAGGACGTTAAGTCGATCAAGCATATCATCTGGAACTCGCACCTGGCGCCTAAGCAGGCGGACCTAGAAAGGATAAAGACTGAGTACCCGGACATCAATCTCATCAGCTTCGAGGATCTCCGGACGTTGGGTGAACAGAATCCGGTGGACCCTGTCCCACCATCTCCTGAAGATCTCTGCTGCATCATGTACACCTCCGGATCTACCGGCCCACCGAAGGGTGTTCCTCTGACCCACGGAAATGTCATCGCTGCAAGTAAGCTAACCCAACCGTTCGCACCCTAGTATGCCAAAGCTAATGTTGAATAGCCGCCGGTATCAATACAATTGTCGGACCATACATTGGGCCCTCCGATGCTCTGTTGACATACCTCCCCCAATCGCATATCCTTGAGTTTATGTTCGAGAACCTCTGTCTAATCTGGGGTGGTACTATGGGTTATGGAAACCCACGGACGTTGTCGGACGCGTCGATGCGCAACTGCAAGGGTGACATTCGTGAATTCAAGCCTACCATTCTTGTCGGTGTGCCCGCCGTGTGGGAATCAGTGAAGAAGGGTGTGCTTAACAACTTGAACAAGAACAACTTCATCGTGAGAAGCATGTTCTGGGGTGCTATGGCCGCCAAGAACTTTTTGATGACGACTGGGTTCCCTGGCCACGGTGTGGGCTCCTCATTACTGGATGCTGTTGTCTTCAAGAAGTTGAAGGAGGCGACTGGTGGCCGGTTGCGCATCATGATGAACGGTGGTGGCCCAATCTCGAAGGATACCCAAAAGTTCCTGTCTATGGCCATTGCCCCAATGATCAGCGGATATGGTCTCACCGAAACCTCGGCTATGGGTGCTCTGAATGACCCGATGGCCTGGAACCCGGACGCCCTCGGTGAAATCCCTGCTTCCATTGAAGTGAAACTCGTTGACTTCGCTGATGCCGGGTATTTCACGAAGAGTAACCCCCCACAAGGAGAGATCTTCATCCGGGGAGGCAGTGTGAGCAAGGGCTACTGGGACAATGAGGAGGAAACCAAGGCGGCCTATACCGAGGACGGGTGGTTCATGACCGGTGATATCGGCGAATTTGATAAGAACGGCCATCTGAAGATCATTGACCGCAAGAAGAACCTCGTCAAGACGCAAAACGGCGAATACATCGCTCTCGAAAAGCTCGAATCTGTCTACCGCTCCTCTCCCCTTGTGGGCAACATTTGCGTATATGCCGCTCAAGATCAGGACAAGCCTATTGCTATCATTGTCCCGGTTGAGGCCGCTCTGAAGAAGCTCGCCCACGAGAATGGCATTGAGGGTGACACTCTGGAGACGCTGGTTCACAACGAGAAGCTGAAGGGGATTGTTCTCAAGCAGCTCCAGACGGCTGGTCGTGCGGGCGGTCTCAAGGGCATTGAGATTGTCAACGGTGTGGTGTTGTCTGACGAAGAATGGACCCCCCACAATGTAAGTTATCGCTGCTTTCTCTTGAGTGCAATCATATCACTAACTTGTTCTAGGGATACATGACCGCCGCTCAGAAGCTCCAGCGCAAGAAGATTGTCGGTCACTTCCAAAAAGACATTGACAGTGCTTACGGCAAAAATTAAATGACGGGGCTACTGACGTTATGCTAAAGTCGGATAAGTCATCATATATATCTCTTAGTTTCTTCCGAAGCCTGGTTAATTTTGATATGTACTGCATTGCCAGTCCGGATTGAGAATTTTGTTTTTTTCCTGTTGAAGCTGTGTATTTCCTTAATGTTTCTTTCTTGTTCAAATATCCCACAGGACGGCGATGAAAATGTGTCTACGTTATCTTCGCATTATTAAAGAGCATAATGAATTGGAGATGATTAAATGCATGCTTGTCCTAGCAACTAATATTGTGTCATATGTCCACTTTTACTAGTAGGAATTGACAGTAGTAGTATGAAATATCATTCGATTTTGCGACAACTTGAAGCTATTCTACTAACTCGAATTGTAGTTTGTGCACCTATAAGGCAGGGTACTCATTCTCTGACCATAAGTATTAACCCATGACGATATACGCGATTGCCCAATTAGCCCTAATCCACAGAGTAACGAAGGCCCTGACTGCATTCCTCAACCTTGTCCTGGACATGAAGCCGCAGTTACTTAGACGACAATGATGGGTCTTACTTATACTACAATTTGATCCCGGGGAGGAATGAACCACGAACATAATCTGTTTATAATTAGGCCCATATCAACAGCCAGCAAGCCTCTGCAACCCTGAAACGCATTAATAAAATGTAGCTATAGCTAAGCCATAATTGTGAAATCTGACAGCTGTGCTCCAAGATACGCTAAGCCCGGCAGGTACGTTAAAGCGCCTCGAAATAAAAGGGGTCGTCGGTCTATTAATACACTATGATTTGAGCTCGTTGTGACCATTTCATTGAAAAAGCCTTATCGATACCTTGTTCCTATCTCGTTTACTCTCCCGTGGCTTATAAGGCTAGAGGTGGCATCGCCCGTTGTAATAGATCGCGAATTATGTTGTACAGAATACATACTATTCGATACCCAAGCACTGGGTAGGATCTGAATTGGAAACGAATATTATACCAGAGCGGCTACAGACAAGAGATATCCTATAGGACTAGGACAAGTGATTTTCCTGGCATGTATAATGATGAATCTGGGTATGGCTGTTAGTACTATCGTCCTAATAGTGTACAGGGTCTCGAAACATACGCCTTTGTTCCAAGTGTCTGTACTACCGGAGTCTGTGCACGTAGTCTAGATAGCAACAGTCAGCAGGCAATCACCGCAAGATATTCAATTGTTGAGCTTCATCTGCTTACCCCGTCAGGGCAGTCACATTCGCTTGGACCTGGCTTGAAGTCGTCCATTGGCCAATCGGTAGTATAACGGCAAATCTACGTATAGTGGCCAAATGTTAGCCCAGATAGCCAAAGGCATATCCCAAAGACAAAGGTAAATATGATTGAAACGCAATAGTTACGTACAGCACCATCGCCACAGGTTCCACCTCCTGCAACAAAGGTTGGAGCAAGGGTAGTGGCAAGAAGGAAGGTAATTGGCATGAAAAAACGCATGATGAAAGAACTGAGTTATACTCTGGTCAGACAAGTGTAGTAGAAGGCTTGAGTTGGAAACGATTGAGAAAAGTAGGATCAAGGGACATGAATTTATACCTTGGGAAATAGGCAATGCGTAGTCAATAAAAAGCAAATATACAGTCAGGTGTAACAATCACATATTCTTAGCATGGGCCACATTTTGCTGAGTTCATAGCTGAGAACTTCCATAAACAGCACGAAGTAACTAGGAGTTATTTACTTTCTGCAGGTATCATCTGCTGGCCCTTTGCTAGTTCATTTATCAGCAGCTACTAGCAAAGTGGGTCTTTTGGCGATCCTGCGTGTTACAGACGTATAGCGAGGCTCGATTTTGCATCTACTGAGTAGAGGTGGATGGAAGCCGTGAGAAGCCTCCACTAATTATTGTAATAGTGTCATGTATACTCCATATACGGTTTGCACAGATACCTATCATATACCGCCCCTTGCCTTTTTGGAAAGTCTATAAGAGCCAGAGTTTACTTGATGCATATGGAATATCTAACGTATTTTCCTGATCAATGCAAGCTGCTTGTGCGTTCTGTGTGAGCTATGCCCAAGCTTCTGCTAAGCTTCTAGATATAAAACATATCAGTAGCAGTCTTACTTTTTCATTCAGCAAATATTCTCTTGGTAGCTGAGAAGCCTCTTTTGTCGCCTTTGCAATGGAGCATTCTCACATATACGGCAAGAATGTCATATAGCCGAGCAAATAATATTTTTTACCTATTATGCTAGTGATGATTATTCACAATAAATAACTAATGGATATATTATACTATCAAGTGCATTCACAACATTGTATAGAAATAATTGCCTGTTCCATACAATGGGGCTGGAATTAATCCCATGAATGGTCTACATCCAAAGTGTGGAATTTCATACGGAAAGAGATTCACTAGATGCAGGAGGCATTCTTTGATTGCAATCACCACGACAAGGATCTAGATAGCCTTATATATCAAGAGGCGGTTCAGAAACTGAAGCTTAGGCTATGGACTCTACGTCGGTATTCTGTGATGAGACAACTCCGGTGTCCACGGGACTATGGTCCATTCAATATGTTAAATCACTATAAACATGCACTAAAGTAATTCCCTGGGATTATAGCGGGGCTGAGGGTTTCCACTTCGAGCCGATCGTGGTATCGACAAGGCCAATATGACAGAGACCAGCATCCATGCGCAAGCGAGAATAGGAAAGACTGACATCTATTGCCACCAAAGGCCATGCACTTTGACAGAGATTCTGATTTATACATTCAGATTACAGTGACTTGATTATAGATGATTGAAATATCGTAGGGACTGTTCATTTCGCGAATTCATTGACTCCGCGTGAACTGGGATTGTTTTCTCTACTCTTCTCACCTTCTATTATCTCTTCTTCTTCACCATCATCCTTGATCATCTCTGATGATGCACCAGAAACTGCATGCATTGTTGCAGAGAATGAGTCAACCAAATATTCGAGGAGCCAGACCTATATCCGGTGACCCAGATAACCTTACCAGCTCTTGAAACCACAGAAGAGCGACTCATTTAGAGACCGTGCTGCTAAAATTTTGAAAGACTTCGGTAACCGGCTTGGACAAAGTAAATATGCCGATATTTTTTCGTTGACGGCCGATAACTGTGTTCAGAGCAACGGATATCTCCAGTGCCCAGCCCCAAAGGCTGAATCAAGAGATTGATGTCTCTAAACAACCGAGAACTCTACACCACCAGCCGGCTGTATCATTAAGCTACCTACACTCTCCCCTACCAAGAAGGGACTCGCAGATTCAGCGTTCTATTAGCTCTATCTCATAGATCCAGAAATCTTAATCTCGAAGCTTCTACAGTCAAATCTTGACCAAGCAGCTTTTCGAAGACTCGCCCATTTTATACACCGACCGGCTGAAAAATATCACTCTTGTGCACGGGAGTATAGAGACGCATGGCCGTATTCTTTACTGATGACCCTATTTACTCCTGGACTCATTCGCAACATAATTCGTGCACTTGCATAGTCAATCCAGAAGAACGAATCCATGGCCACTGGCTATCTTGGTTGATCTTCACAGACACTAGATGTGTCTTTTACCCAGAATCTCGTCGCTCGAAGACCAAGGGACGCTCTGAGAATGACCAACCAGTGTAACTAATGATACTGATACATCAAAAGGCTACGATGAGCATGAAACCCAATAGGTAATGAACCTCTTTGCCGTCAAAATGTGTGGACGCCAGTATACTGCCTGTTTCGTGGTCATTATAGAAAAGTATCAGAATCAATGAGCTTCCGAACAATGATAACTCATACAGACAAGGCCACATTCATTGTGTATAGGCATCGAGCCCTAACAATGGGGTTTCCGGATCTCATTGTCTACTTTCACATCCGCTTTGATAGTTGAGGATCACACCCGTATCAAGAGTGATATGATGAACATGTTTACTCCATTGAAGAGACATGTATGAAACACCCGGGATTGAAATGGACCATGCATTTCCTTTCTTCCGTTCTATTTTCATCCCTTCCATCAAATCCTGTCCCTATCCGCGGCTCTCTCCATATATCCCCAAAAGACCACTACACCCCCCAATCCTAGACCCAGTAGTATACCTCAAATTACGCAAAATCCCAAAACCACCACACCAAGTAAACCCCCAAGAAAAGAAAAAAACGAAAAAGAGGAAAAGAGGAAAATGCCCCCCCACAAAATCTTCCACATCCCCGAAATCCTCGAACAAATCCTCCTCCAAACACCTCCCCAAACCCTCCTAACCGCCGCCCAACGCACCTCCCAGACCTGGCACGCACTGATAACCACCTCCCCCAAGCTCCAAGAAGCCCTCTTCTTCAGGCCCCAGAAACCCCTAACCCCCAGCAATAGCAGCAGCAGCAGTACCACAACCCACCGCACGCTCAACCCCCTCCTCACCCCCAAAATCTGGCCGCAGCTCTTCCGCAAACGCCTCGACTCCCAACCAGCAACAACAACAACCACAAACTACGGCTACACCTTACCCCCCGCGGACCCCCTCGAAGAAGAACTCTACCTCCGGCCCGACGCCAGCTGGCGCCGCATGCTCGTGCAGCAGCCGCCGACCTCGTCCATCGGCGTCTTCGTCATGCACTCCTCGTGGATAGCCAGCGACGACGACGACGTGGCGCCTGCGAACGTCTTCAAGGCCGAGGTGGAGTTCCTGACCCTGGGCCATCTGCATTGGTCGGCTGTGGTGGGCGGGTCTCTGTTGCCGTTGGAGAGGGCAGGCTGTTTTTGGGACCGGGCGGATTATTATACGGCGAAGGATGTCGCATGGCGTAGGGAGATCGAGTTGGCGCTGGACAGGGTCGCGCAGACTTGTGATTTGGTGGTTTTTACGGGGGGGAATTGGGATCTTTGGAGGGTTTTGTGTGGTTGTTGATCTCTCTTTGTGTTTATCTTGGGGTTGTTTTGCTGGGTCTGGGGGGTTTGGGGGTTGGTGTGGGTGTTTGGGTGTTTGGGGGTTGGCATGTATAGTAAGTATATGATCTACTAGTGAATTTGGTGTCTCTTGGGGTTGTGTGGACTGCTGTGGGTATCTTCTTGTTGTAGTGTTTGGGATAGTGTGTGTGTGAGAGAGAGAGAAAGGGTCTGTATGTTGACATTCTTGAGCTTTGGAGTTCATCTCTGTTTGTATGCTTATATATGTTGCTGGTGGCTCCTAGGGTATCGATAGACTACTTCGGATGGTAATGTATACGGTCTTCAAGGCCCTTGATGTCCACTTTACATTACAGGAGGACTCAAAAGTATGTGGCCCCTATGCTTGTAGGTACCTATGGCTCTAATTGCCTACTGTGAGAGACTAGGTATCTATAAGTATATAGGATACATACTTTTTGAACCCCCCCCTGTATGTGTCGCAAGGCAGTCAACACCAATCGGTAAGATAATGAAGATATCCTAGTAAACGTTCTAGGCAAGTACCACTTCATATCCACTTTTAACTCATCAAATAATCAAAAACGAAACATAATATGTGTTCGTAGATGAAGTTTAGACTTTTACCTGGTATTCAAGAACAGAAAAAAAAAAAACAAAATTAAAAACGAGGCGGTTAGTAAGCTAGAAGCCCTAAGTAACTAACTTGTCTTGCTCTCTGACGATGGGTTAGAAAAGTAGGGCAATTACCATGGACTAAAAGTATATAAATCCGAGCAGTGGTTTAATAATCTCAGTTCATTAGCAGAAGTCGAGTCAAGAGTTGGTGTCTTGAATGTCTACTCCGTAGAATCACTCGTTGGGTGATGTCTCAGCAAATGTATCTAGCCCTAAGAGATAGTCGGATAGGATAATACCAGAGCGCTCCGCTGTCATAATCCAATGAATACAGCTTGCGGTACAATCTTCCAATTGGTCAAATTCAAAGGTAGTCCACGTACTTCTCCTTCTAACGGGGCGACCTACCAAACGAACAGAATGGTAGATGTGGAGACCGCTGAATCAGTGCTGAATCTGCTGATAGTGGAGGTGTTTTTGAGAGTATAGGGACAAGGTTCCAAACTTAACTTAGCCAACTAATCCATGGGAAGCTACATGTCTAGCTTGCATATTTGATTTCCTTACCCAGTAAAAAAAAAGAAAGGTTTTATGGACTGGGGTTATACTTGACCCTTGTATAGCACCAGGAGCCAACAAAGAAGGTCGGCGGAAGACGGAGTACCGATGACTCGGGCAGAATTAAAAGCGGTGAGAAGGGAACTCTCGATCCGGCCTGAGGCAATTTATCTCGTCTAAGCTAACCCTTCCAGGAATGGTGGCCTTCATTCAAGTTGACGTGAAGAACAGCCAGGAGGTCCTGCGAGTCGACACACCTCACCATCCACCTGGCAAATCATCGATCTACAGACATGTCTCTCTGGAGGTGTGTATATACCATTCCTGTCCATGATCATTATCCAAATTTGGCCTAATCCCCGCCCGCTACTAGCTCCTACCGTTCTTTGTCGCCGAAAACAAGGGCTCTCTTCGGAGTTGGCGTGATGGCTTGGGCGTCGATTGGCCTCTGGGTTTTACCGGAAGTAGAAGGCGCCATGGGCATGGCTCCAACAAAGCAGGAGCAGGAAGAGTTGGATCGTAAGATGGCGATTCGGATCTCGCGGGTGGATAAGGATGGCCACTGAAGAAGGGCCTTAGTGTGATGGGGGAGGGGGCTTCGAGTTTATTTGCAGTCTGCCTCTTCTTCACTGACGAATGCCTAGATTGTGGTCGGCCGAGTCAACTTCATCGTGTGACCGTAGGCTCAAATCAAAGCTCCGGGACTGTCGGCGGGAGCGGACGCCCATTGGGAATCGAAATGACGGGATGTCAGCAACGGACGGACGCAAGGAGGGGGCGAAGAAAGGTTGGGTAAATACAAAAGAAGAAGGACTTTCGGGATACTCAAGCAAGGCGCCTCACTACCGTACCTCTTGTTCATCGCGTGTTGCAGGCTGTCAGAAGTTTGTTTGGCGCAACACAACATCCGGAGACCGTTTCGTGAAACCGAGATACAATGCATGGAATGTGGGAGTGAGAACAAAGAGGCGGGCTGGTAAGACGGGGTAGGCGGTAGTATGGCTGGGCATTGAGTCAGATCGTACGAATGGGATCCATGTAAATTAAGAAGTCAACAAGGATGCAAAGACTTGACAAAGTTTCGGAGGAATGGCTCTCCGCTTAGGAGTCTCCTTGGCAGCGAGACCAGTGATGAAAGGGAGCCGTTGACTTGAAAAGTGAATCTACCCCGAAAGAGGCGCGCACGGTCGTCCGAGTCTCGTACGTTTCAAGGATTTTAGGCTTAAACAACCTGGTCCGTGTTTTCGGGCTCTGGAAAGGCTGGGGTCTGATCCCGAAGCCAGAGACACCCACACGAAAGACCGTCGGGCCTTCCAGCCTTGTGATGCTTAGCCATTGGCTCCTGGATGGCATGCGCCAGGTTGAAGAGTCTGGCCGGCAAGAACACCCTGAACACACCAGTGGAACTCCGTACATGCGTTGTATGTAGTCTGTATCCGGTAGGGGAGGGGCTCAGGGTTCCTGATAAGCCAAGGCCCAACCGTTACCCATAGAGAGAGAGAGAGAGAGAGAGAGGAAAAGATGAGGACGTTAGTGTCATAGAGTCCACGCAGATTGGATGCAACGTTGCACGGCCATCCACTTTCTTTTTCTTTTTCTTCTTTTCTTTTTTCAAAACAGAAACACGCGCCTTGTTGGTTGCTTCTTCCTCCTCCAGAACAGCTATTTTAGTCCCGCAGTTAATCAATCTCATGTGGCTTGCAAAGTTGTCCACACCCCATCCATCACACGCATACTTTCGTCTCTCTCTCCGCCGGTCGACCCCTTGTACGACGTGCATAAACGGCCCACCTTTGAAGGAGGGTTATTGCATGAAGGCTGCCTGGGACTGCTCATGACTGAATCGCTTGTCAGTATCGATGCGCTTGGTAGTCTCTGGGAACAAGGGATCCCTTTCTGATTGGCGTATAGCCTGACCCATGGGTCAATTTATGTGAGATGAGATGAGCACGTCCTGCACATCTCACTGGCGCGGAGGTTATCCACTCCTGGAGTTCTGCTGGGGGGTTAAGACAGAAGTGACTCCAATCGAGACCGAAAATAAAAAAGAGCCAGAGAAAATGCAGTAACCATGCATGGCCCGACACATCGTAAACAACGCACCGAAAGCAGAAATGAACTCATTGATGGACCCCGACGATTGACTGGAATGGTCGGAACGTGCCGAAGTGTAGGTCAAGTGGAGTTGGAGGCCAGTGATCTTAACTCTTTCGGGCAGTAGTCCATCAGGGCTGTTGATCCTTCGTATGGAAACTATCGGTGTTGGGATGTCTGTCCCCTAATGTATGCTAGGTCGATCCTCATGAGCGCTGCCGATCATCTCCGTTAGTCTCATCTTCCTTGACATCGTTGAGTGGCGGATCCCATACCGTTTGGTGGCAGAGTACGGTGAGGACTGATAGGGCGCATATTTTTTGAGATCTCGAGTCCTGAAAGAAAGGATGAATAGGGTACCCCGCAGGCAACCAACACTTTGGCCTCTCCATACATGCATGCATCAGTACGAGTTAAAAAAAGAAAGAAAGAAAGGAGGTGAGAGCGCACCCCAACACCGCTTAATACTGGCGACCGCCAACTTTGTCCGGCATGAATTGTTTGGCATGTTTTTGCCTCCTTGGCCTGTTTCTGTTTCAATGACCAGTTGTTAGTCATTTTGTTTTCATTTGCCTTTCTTTAACATGGGATTTAGATTTATCCAATATTTTGTCTTCTCTGTCCTTGCAATTCTTGGTGCTTTGTCTCTGCAGATAATTCCTTTCTAGATAAATGCCTTAGACTTGAAGAGCTGGCGCGCTCCCGTCTCCTTACTTGTGTAGTTTCTACGAGTAAACTTCACGGGATAGCCGTGAACAATCCATTTCTGCGGGCAGTTGTCAAAAACCCTGACAGCGGACATGTCCTAGTAGTTACGTTGCTGAAAACAAGGTAACATATCGGAGAAAATGACGCCCACACGAGCCAATGAGCAGACGATCCAAACCCTCAATTTAGGTTCGTGTTCTTTATCCTAACCTAATAATTCTTGTGCCCGCCGTGCCACCATCCCTGGTGCGCCGTCATGTTTCTTCCCTTTGCCATTGGTTTCCGCCAACGGCTACGGCGGTATCTGCACAGCTTAACCATCCTGTCGGTGACATTGACAAATTCTCTTCGAGGAAACTTCCCCACGTGAATTTTGGGGACAACCTTCCCCTCGATCTTTCGAGATACGTAGGACAGTGTCAACTAAATGATCCTGGTCCTGGACCAGGATCCAGACAATGGTTCTTTTTTTCAGAACAAAAACAAGGGGGGAAGAGAGAAAGTGAAAAGGGAAAGATTAGGTAACAAGAAAAGGGAGAAGAAGTGGGAAAGGATTGAAAAAAATTGACAAAGAATTGGTCGATCTCTTACCAGATCAGAAGAGGGTGGGTGATAGGGGCAAAAGAGAAAAGTAAAAGTGAAGGAAACAACGAGACAGACAAATCATTAGTTAGTTTCATGTAATTCAGCTTGGGCAAACGAATCTGAAAATCCACTCAAGGTGGTGGTCTATCTCGCTGGCCATGATCTGAAGCTTATCATAGAAAGTAAACAAAGAAACGGACCTCCAATTTTCGTCTCTTCCGGGCCATAACGCAAACAAAACAGAACAAAACAAGAACATAAACAGGAAAAGTCAGCTGGCAATGCATTAATCATAAGGGAATTTTAGGTTAAAAGTTTTGGGCTAAAGGTCCGTGAAAAGATAAATATAATAATAAATCAAAAAAGAAAGAGAAGAAGAAGAAGAAGAAGAAGAAGAAGAAGAAGAAGAAGAAGAAGAAGA